ACTGTCTTTAAGGAGGAGCGTGTGCAGTATTCATGGTTAGGGACCACCAGGCAGTACCAGATAACTATAAGGAACAGAAGCTTAGGAAACTCAGAATACCTTTTAAACATTTTTTTTTTCCTTCTTCTTCTTCCTAGAAAGCAAATTCCTTCTGAGGACATTTTCTCAGTGAAACATCCTCTCTTCCTGCATACTCTTCTCCTCCAAGGCAGTGCTGACTGTGATAGGGAGGACTACAGCTACCCCTCTGATCCATGTTGGGTTAAAAACCTCAATTCTCCAGTGTTGCAGGACACAGCAGGAACTTTTACTGTTGACTGGAACAGACTGGAAATTTTGTTTTCCAAGTGTTCTCAGACTGCCTTGTTTGCCTAAATGAATCCCTTGTGGTATGTCTGTACAGTCATGTTGGTATTTGTCATTTCTTAGCACCTATAATGAGAATAGACATAAATTGGATTTATTTTTAAACCTCACTTAAATCCTGATGTTTACTCTAACTTACAAATTAGTTCATTAAAATTTCTTTCCTAAATGGCACTCTTAAGGTGTACAAGTACACCCATCACTGCAAACACTCTGCCATTATTGTTATTTATGTAGTGCAAAATATTTTAACTTCCATCAGAGTTGAAAACCAACTCAATATGTTTGAGCATCAAATTCAGTTGAAAAGTCCCACTTTCCTCCCAGGAACCCAGTGCTTTCCTCAGACTACTGAAACTTTATGACACCAGTGAATATATTATAGAAAGCTCTAAGAACTGCCAGCAGCAAGCACCAAAACCTACCAAGCCCCTTCTCACACAGATGACAATCTGTAAACACTCCAGAACTATAAATAAGATTCTTACTGTACATTTTAGTCATCTCAGAAAACTCATTTCAGGATTTGTTGAGATATTTTGAACTGCATTTGCATTTATTACTATTCTCAATGAGTAGTTGTTTCTCAGTTACAATCCACCCATGAAAGTCCACTCCGCAACATTACTGGTAAAATACAAAACTTTAAGAAACTAAGTTATCCTAAATAAAAATACATCTCTATAGCTTATCTAGATTGTTTTAATATGGTAGTAGAAATTCAGCAGGTATACAACACGCTTTTGGTGTGATTTTTACACAAAATGGAGTGTAAACTTTAACAGCACATTAGCTCCCAGTCCAGGCTTCTACTCATAGCTGCCCATTTTAAGGATGTTCAGTTTAATTTCTCTATGTTACCATGAAAGCTGAATCATGTAGGTTATATTTTTAATAGTCAACCCTACACTGGAAATGGTAAGGAAAATGGGAATTTATTTTTTTTTAGCCTTGCCTATAAATATTTTAGGGAACATCTGTTTAAGAGGGGGAGTAGAAGATACTCAAGACAATGTCTTAACACTGATATAAGCAAGAACAAAAAAGGATAACCTCTCTGCACAAATCTGAGATTAGAGGTAGAAGGTTTCTAGCTAGTGGACAACACCATAGAATCATAAAATCACTAAGCTTGAAAATGACCTCCAAGATCATCTGGTCCAACCATCATAGCCTTCCAAAAAGGAGCAACAGTGCCAACAAAGGTAATAGATCCAAATCACTTCCAGAGACATCCTTATCCAAAGCCTCTGTGCAGTTCACATTTAGGGCCAGCGTCCACTGTATATGGAATGACAGCATGGGGAGTTACCACACACAGAGCAGGTAGGGTTTGTTTATTTATTTAAAAAAAAAAATCCTAATGATTTATTCTGAAACTGTCTTCCCTCTCTTCATCACTGAAGATGTAGAATGCAACAATTTAGAAAAGAGCATTAGGAATAAAACGTTATTTCATTATAACAAGGATGCCAAGCAAAATTCAAGATCTCTTTTTGAGATTAGCTGCTAAATGTCTCAGAACACTGTTTGAGAAACAGAGGATAATTCAGGTGAGCTGGCTAAGACTTCCCCTGTCTCTGCCTTGCCACAGGTTCCCAGTCAGTCGATGGGAGGAACGAAAGCCAGCCTGGCTGGCTGCCTCTGTGGCTTGTCTTCTGCCTTCTCTGATGTCCAAAACAATCAGCGGCCTCATGCTCTGGGACTCTGTTCCTGCCCTGCAGGCAGGAGATGCTGAGAAGGCAATGAGACAGGCAACAGAGATGGCCTAAAGCTTGCCTTAAGTCTGTGAAATCAGGGAATATGTGAGCTAGATATGATACTGATAAGTTATCTGTGAAAGGCAAGACAACCTGCAGAGCAGGGAACAGATGAAGCCCCCATCTCTCTGCTTCCTCTCCTGCAGACAGGTAGCAGAGTGAAAGGAATGGCTCTCAATCAATCCCTCCAGAAACCAGCATTTTATGAGGGACCAACAACAATGTGCAAATAAATCTAAGTACCCTAGGAATGCTTCTCAACCTTTCAGCAAAACAGCAGCTATACATCCCCAAGCAGCAGGGGTTACTTTATTAAATTGCTGGGGTGAAGTTTCGAAAACAACTATTATTCTTACTGAAAGATACTGTACTGACAATTTGGCCCATGACCTTGTAAGCTTTTCTGCTTTGTCCTGTCTCAGTTTTGTGCTGCAAGCACCAGTAGGCTTGGGAGAACACTCTTATGTTCTCTGATCTCAAACTGGAGATAACATACACACAATATGTGATAGCAGTTGTTTGCAAAATAGCCATCAAGGACTCTTTTAATATGGTGACTTGGAATAATTTACATATGAAGAGTATGAACTTAAAACTTCTAATTTCATTCCAAGATGTCCAGCAGCTCCCAAATGTTCTTCTGGAAATATTTGAAAATGCTTTTAAAAGTTAAAATGACCTATTTGTAAAACATCATCCTTGCATAAGCACAAAATCATGTAATGATTTGCAGAAGGGACAACACCAGGAAAGAACATAACAGGTGATAACATTCAAGATATTTTCTAAAACCCACTTGTGACAGACAGATATCCTGAATTTGCATCTATTGTAATTTTATTTGACTTTCAATAGTCAACAGAAGTCCGTTATGAGAGCTAAACAGCAGATTTAGATTTCTTAAACAACTCAAAGGGAGTTGCAACTCTTTTGTGCCTAAACATTTTTTAATTCCAAAAGTCAGGCAGAAATTCATGGAGGGGCAGGGGATGCAAAGGGAGTTTACTCTAGCTAACATTTTTTTATACACTAAATTTTAGCAGACATATAGAAGGAGAGCTAATGTATAATATTTTCCAGGTACATTGTACCAGTACTGTAATTTGCTATTAATAAGTGAAGTAAATGTTAATTAGTTCTTTGGGATTACCCTTTCCTTAAATAATGAAATGAACTCTTATATCTTCTGAAGCAGTCCCAAGAAGCAAGTACCGACAGCTCTGCTTAATTAATTTGTATCTTTTCCACTGTGAGTCTCAACTTCCCTATAATTAAGGAGTAATTTAATCTTATTACATTTTATTCTTTGTTAAAAACATATAGTATTGGTAGAAAAAAAAAATCTAAATACTTGTTTTGTAGAAAAGGGTAATAAATTTTGGAATCTGATACATCTGCTGTTGAAACAAGTTTTAGTCCAAAGTCAAAGTGAAAAATAAATGCAGCATGAAAATTTTGCTAGAGGGCTATCAACATTGTGGTGCATATTCCTTTTCAAGCCATTTCATATCCACCTTTTAGTGACATATGTTAAACATACACCTTTTGTGCTACTGAAATCTGCCTTTTGTGGAAGGAGGTTGAGGTGGGGATGAAATTGCAAGCATAAATGATTTATGGCAGAAATTTTCCTAGCTTCATTCCAAGGGCAAAATTAGGGTTAGTAGGAAACAAACATCTATATGGGTGTAACTATTTTCCACCATCAAGTAAACATATGCTGTTGGGTGACTGATAGATGCTGACAACGCTTTGTTGCAAAGGTGACGACTTTGTCAGCATTTTAATTGCATCCTTTATCCATGTGTATAAGTGTGTGGTCTAACAAATCATGTGGTAGCTGCATAAATGTTTCTTGAAAATTGTCATTAGCTGATGACATTAAGTTAATGATTAAATAATGGCCTGTACAGGACTAATGTTTATCATAATGTAATAATACAAGAAGGGTATATTCAGATTCATGTTATTTCCTTTAAATAATTTCTAAAACTGATTTCTTTCTGGGCTATTTACTTTTCTCAGAGTGTCCAGTGAAAGCAAATACCATAGCATGTTGCCTTTCCAGTGAGCAACGTAGGGCACTTTGATAAATAGCTGGTTGTGATGACATTTAGGGTAGTAAACCTAGTCCATTTTTCAAAAGCCTGAGACTTGAAGAGACCTTCCTACACCGATGCCACATGGACTTTACAAGCCATGATAGAACTAAACCCTGTGAGATGCTGAGTGACAGAAATTCCCTAAGTGTTTAGACACATGTACCAGACTGATATAAAGTCTTCTCAATATTCTGGGTCCCTTAGAGATGGGGAAATCCTAGGGCACATGAATAATTCACACTACCTTAATCCTTAGCCCGTCTGGAGGGCTCATGTCTCTCTGATGATAAACTGAATTCTTTCCTGATTCTCTCCGAGGTAAAGGAGAGCCAAGGAGCGAAGCAATCTGCGTTGCAGGGACCAAGATGGGGAATTTGCCCCTAAGCCCCATCAAGACTCTACTGGACAAGGAGCAGCATCTCATCTTCAGCATCTGCAAGTCTCCCAGCTACCAAACTCGATACTCCCTGACATTTTTACATCTTTCGTTAAGCTTTTCTGATCATCCTAATCCAACAGTCCTATTCCTGTCCCTTCATTATCAAAATACATCCATCAGACACACATTTTCCCATCCCACTCACTACCCACTTCACAGAAGAGCATCTCAAATATTTCGCATACTCAAATTTGACTTGCTGCAGGCTCAGCTTGTTTCAGGGCAGTCTTCAGTAAAACACTTTGTTTATAGACTTAGGCAAGGCTCCCTGCCCTGGATGTCCTGTCTGTGAGCTGCTAACACTAGATAACAGAGCTAATTATTAACACTAGATAGAATAAAACAAGTAAATATTTTCTTTAACTCAAGGCACATGCAATAATGAATTGTTCACATCACCTTTACAAGGGTCACAGGATACTGAATGTAGGAAATAATTAAGAACCCTTTAAAAAAGTAGCCACTTAAAAAAAATTCAGTGGAACACTGAATGCATTCACTATTCAAAAACAGTCCTTATTTGCACAAACATTTTTAAAAAGTAACCAAGTCATCCAGATGTTAAAAATCTGTGATGGCTCAAGGAGAGAAGAATTAAACAAATTGAAGGCAGTGAAAATCATTCATGCAGTATAAGCCAATATTAGCTCTTACTCAGCTTTTATCGACTCCTTGTCTGCAGTGAGCCAAAGGATGCTCTCGGCTGCTACACGGCAAAGTTGTTAGACTCCACATCTCCAGTGAAGTAGAACAGGTTACTGCCATCAAACTCCAGTGGATAGGTTCTCTAATTGTATATTAGAGAAAGATGCAATAACGACCTAGAATTCAGTAGCACTTTTATTCCATAGCGAGAACGAAAGCTAACTAAACTCAGCAGGAAGACTTTTCATTAAATAATCGGATCCATCTTAGGAATTTGTTATGCTTATTATCTAAAGGTACTGTTTGAAAAGATGATTTATTGTAGGTCAGCATTTCGTTATGTGCTTATGGTATGATTTAAGTTGCTTAATTGAAACAGATGATTATGTAACTATTAGGTTTGCTACAGAAACATTAAGATTTCTTAGCACAGCCTGAAAACACTGGAAAAGAAAATTCATTCCCTACACTCCAAGTCACAGGACTGAATGAAGAACATGAACTATTTTACATTTCATCTCAAGAATCGTAAATAATAAATCCTCTAACATAGGGTCAATGGATGCCATTATTTCTGGTTTTGTCTTCAGGACAATGGCAAAAAAAATTTTTTTCTTCCTGTGTATTCTCTCTCACACCACCATCAAAAATTAAGCTTTTGCCTAAATAAGCAGTCATTGTTTCCCATATAGTTCAGCTTATTTTTTCCCTCTGCAGGTGTCTGAGTTTTTGGTGCCTTTTTCCTTGAGACCCCTTGCTAATCCTTGAAGGCACTCTCCAGTGTTCTTTCATCTGTTACCTGCTCTTTGATCTTGGGGATTCTTTTCTTTATCAGTGTTGAAGCTTTTATAAGTCATATTTTCAGAATTAAAGCTGAAATTGTGAAAAAACAGAACGGAATAAAGATTTACATTGTTAGCTCTGACCATGATGGTATATTAAATAATATATAACATCTCATCTAAGGAAAAATACAAAGCAGAATGGGACAACAAAAGCTAACATTACTTTAAACACTAGGTTCTCTGCTGTGAGACACACAAAATACTAGCCCTTGTTACCTAGTTATCTTTTCTAAATATCCCCTCCTTAATTGTATCCATCTATGACAGTAAACTTAGTCCTTAAATTTCTCTCAGCAGAAATGCCTCTTAAAGATGAAGAAAACTTACTCTCATTTGGGCAAGCTGGTCTTAGAGAAGGGGGGGGAACTGGGGATATTAGGAGCAGGGAAAGGTGTTTGGAGATGTGGAAAGCAGGTGGAGGTTTTGCTGCAATACAATATGAAAAGGACAGTGAGTATCATGAGGAAGATTTGAGACAGCTTTCATAAAAGAGGAGGCTGATAAGCTTTGTTCACTGTTTTAGGGGAAAACCCACATGCTTTGTCTGGCTTCTCACTTCCTCCCCCTCAGCCCTCAAACACAACCTGCATATCCTTTCTCCTCCCTCTGTCTAGAGGGGAAGTCACATACAGAGAAGTCCACTGCAGAACAGCACAGCAAACCAAACCTTGTAACTGCATCACCGTCTGTGCATCCCCTGACATGTGCCCTTCATTCCCTTGTTTTCTGAATATTTTTAAATTGGCTGCCATTTTACAGTCTTAAAAATCTATATTTATAGCTACTCACAGAGAAGTCTATTACTCCTTAGATTCTGTAACAAACTGCACTGGTTAATAACTTTTCTCAGAAGAATTATAGTCTTCTGTTTTAATAGTTATAAAAGTAATAATTTGCACTCTAGTGATTTCATTGCAAGGCACAGATTTGTAAAAAATTAATAATTGATAGGCCTTTCTGAATTGTGATAAACAATTTTTTTTATCCAATTTTTATGTCTGGCATACTAAAAGAAAATAACTCCCATGGTCTTCAGACTTCTGTACATTTCTGAATATGCACGGACTGCAAAACAGTAATATAACATTAAAAGGAATGATAAGTTAGATGGTGAAAAATGTTAGAGGGTTCTGATAAGCATAGTATTTCATTTCATATGATGAACATCATCAATGAGAAGTTATGGCAAAATCAATGCTCACCATTCAGTATGCAAGTGTTTGATAGAAGTGAAACCTGAAGATCCTAACTTCATGCAGCTACAATAAATTACATGAAGTCATTCTTGTAGGAAGTTATTCAGAGATTGTTCCAGAACTCAGTTCTCCAAGATGTCTCTTTCTTTCCTTTCAAGGCATCTTGCTCCGACCTAAATACTTCCATGCTTATCTCCAGTTTCCCTTTAGAGCCTGAAGGCTTTTTGTGTGATGGCCTTTCTGGCATGAGGATCACAAAGCAGCAAAAGACCTCTTTGATGAATTCTGCAGAAGAATAAAGAGTAGGCAAGTGCAGGTCATGCAACAGACAAACCTGTGAGCTGGGTGGATCTACACAATTCCAACTTTACAGCAGGACAAAACCTGCTGAAATCACTGAATGGGGATAAAGGCACAATGGAGTAGAACTGCTTTATGGTAGGAGTCATACTGACAGTTTATGATAACCTGGCAAGATTATTTACCACCATAACTCCTACTCAAATAGTCTGAGTACAAATTTGTATCTAAAAAAATGTCACTGATGTGAGTTACAACCATAGCTCATTAAAAAAAGTGAGGAAAACAACCATGACAGTGTTGGGATCTCCTGACATTTCATTGTTGGACAAAACTTGAAGGTCAGAAGCAAAATATTCAGAAAATTACCAAATATTTTCATGTTTCAAGCATACAGAGACATTTTATGCTACCTAGGAACCTTCCACACTCTTAAGTCTCAAAGACTTCCTTCATTTGCTGTCATTTTTACAGGGCTAGCACCAGCACAATTCTCTGTATATCAACATATCTTCCTTTCCTCTCACAGGCCAATTGCTTAAATTATTAACTGCTAGTTCTTAATGAAATTTCTGGTTCCAAACCACATTAGAAGTCAATATCGGTTGTCAGCCAACATTCAATACATTTTTCCAATTACAGTTCACGCCAATACTACCTTTGGTGGAATTCTGCTTAACAGAAATATTGAATATATATTAACTGTAGAGGTAAACATTGACCAACACATTTCTTTTCCTCTAGTAATGGAATAAATTCAGAGACTTCCAGCAAAATCAATCTTTGAAGACATCCACACAAAAAAATGTTTGCATTTAGGATTACCACAGACAGCAAGGACTGGAGAAATTATATCTGAGAAGTGGCAGAAATTGAACATTGAATTATGTAGCAGAATAGGAGAAAGCATGTTCTCCCCCTCCTCAGTCTATTTTGATATCTATTAACATGATGCTAAACTGCAACAATTAACCACATCTTTGCACTTTTTCACAGCAGTTCTTCCATATCTGCAGGTCTGTCCGTGTCAATAACACTACACTGATAAGTGGGTTTAAAAGTGCTCCTAAAGCACAGGCTGCTCTGAAATTCACCCACTTCACAGCTTCAGAGCAGGTTTTTACATAGCTTTGACAGCACTGGCAAACTGACAGTAGGCATGTATACTCGTGCCTGCTAGCTAAAAGTATATTAAGTTGGCAATACACCAGCACTTGGGAGCCCGTACTGTGTGAGAACAGCCATCAGCCTGGAGTCAAGCTTGATGGCTGTATGGACAGCAAAGCCAGCCTTGTGGCTGCCCTCCTGCAGATAACCAAATAAACATACTGCTCTAAACATACAGTGCTGGACTTCGAAGTCTCTAACTAAGCTGATAATTAAGCATTTGATGTTTTAGATGAGGATGGGGTAGGGCAGTCCCACTAAGAAAAAAATGCACAAAATTATTAGACTTTTATCCCCCAAATGCACAAGCTGAGAACTCATCTCAAGGGACTCATCTTGCATCTAATAAAGAATTCCTTTGTTTCTAGAGGGCTTTCAACCAGCTTTTAAAAATGCACAAGAGAGCTAGGATATCCTTATTTAATAAAGAGGAAAAAAAAGTTAGAATTATTATTTGCATCAGGAAACCAGACCCCACACAATAGAAGGCTGACTACTAGCATCTTTGCTCCATTAGTCTCAAGCCAGATAAAAAATATTGTGATATATTTTAACATGCTACAGCTCTTATATATGGTGTTTATTATAAATAGCAGTTATTCCTGTCGTATCTTTGCCAATTCCTCCAGTGCAGTTTGTTTAAAACACTATATGCTTTCAACCTTAAAAATTTGTCTTGCTCTGCAGACTGATGTATTACTTTCTAATTTCTGTTACATTTGACCTTTACTACTATGGTTTGCTTTAATTCCTATTACTGTTATTATTTATGCAGTTCCCAATAGCATCCAAGTCATTCATTAAATATTCTGTGCTTTGAAGTACTGAATGTAAAACAGGTCACCCACAGGAATTTTGTTACTTAAGCTTCCCATTTCATCACATCATTAGGAAATCCAGAACTTTTATAACGTGATTCCCTGAATTACAGATTCACGGGGGATTATGTGGCTGTAAAATAGTTTCCAGATAGAAGGGCTTATTCAACTAATAACCCTTCAAACTCCAGAACTGTTGTGATGAGAATTTAGAGGTACCACCCCATCCACAATATCAATGCCCTGCATGTGCTGTCATGCTGATCAGGAGCACAGAGCTCTGGCCAATTCCTGGTGGCCAGCTGACCTTTCTGGCAGCAGAGTTCAGAGACAGAAGAGGCTCAGCAGGCAGGTCTGCTGTGGTTTGCCGTGAAACGACAAGCAGATGGCCCCACCAGTCCTTGCCTCATTTCTGTAGATACATCAGATTTGTTTTTCCAGAGATAAAGCCCAAGGAACAAACTCTGATTTATAAAGCATCACAATCATGCTTACAGGCTCCTGATTATTATTATAATATTTTTTTTTGTATTTGAGTCAAAATATTTCTTACATTCCAACTCTGGTTAATAGCTTCACAGAGAATGTTTCACAACAGATTGCCTGCAACCATTTAATTACAAGTTTGAGCCCTTTCCTGAGTGCCTACTTGTTACCTGCATTAGACATAGTAAGGACACAGGACAGAATGCTTAAGCCCTTGAGCTCAAGCTTCCCTTGTAACAGAAGGGAAACATTTTAGGTCTCCTGGAACAGCTCCACACATTCATACAACCAGACAGGTCAGATGAAAGACAGGCATGAAGCACTGCACCTAATAACTATCCTGAGCCAACTTCTCCTTAATGCAAAATGGAGACTTCAAGCCCAACTTTATGAGGGTTTTTTTCAGCCACCATTTAGATAAAATAATAATATAAAAGGCTTGTTCAGTAAAGAGCATCTGCTGGAAGCTGCTCTTTGCATGACTGCATGCAGACCAAGAAACTACAGGTTGAGCATGTTCCAATTCAGACCAGATTGAGTTCAGAAGCCTGTAGAACACAATTAATTTGTAAACTCAATATCCATTTCAGGTTAGGTGTTTGGTTGTTGTGCAGAGGCTATATTTTCATTAACAAGTAGCATCATGAAGAGGTAGATGGATCTCAGAAGCAGAATGTTTGGTCTGAGGATCTGGTGTGTTCAATCTGTGTTCCCCGCTATGTACTTTGGAGTGGTCCAATGAACTGGGCATCCACTAGTGATAGAAATCATCTTCTGATTTAGATTTCTCAAAAAAAGATCCAGTTGTGAGCTCCAAGACCACCCCATGACACAAACATAAGTGTGTGTGGGTGTGGAGGGTATGGGGATAAATTCATTACTCCAAAAAGCTCACTGCTGACCTGAACTAGAATGGTAACATTGACCTGCCTGTAGAAAAGCCAAGCAGCAGCTATAGAAAGCTTGCCTTTTGCTGGTGTAGTTTCTTCCACTATTGCTAATTTTCTGGACTATTTACTTTACATCAACCTCTCTGAAATGGGAAGTGTTGATGCATTACAATCCAAGTCAGGGAGAGCTGGTTTAAGAAAAAGGTCAGCCTCAAAGGGTAACTGTCAGCTTTCAGTGAGTGATACCATTAATGGCCTTTTTCATACAGACTGAATGGCATGAGTGATGCTGCAGTGATGATCTACAATTTTAGCAGGACAATCTAACTCCAGCTGTAGTTTTCCATTTATTTATTATAATCTCTTAAGTTCTTCATCCCCCACAGACTCGCTTTTTGCCTGACCTTGAAGAAATCAGCACTTGCTGCATCTTTATTTTCTTCCCTTTAAGAAAGTGGTAATAATTCTTACTTAACTGCAGACTTAGCTTTCTGCTAAAAGCCTTGACGAGCAGCTATCACAGGGATATGAATATTAAAGAAGAATCACAAGCTAATATAAAAGCTACATTTCCACGATCGGCACAGAAGAGTACTAAAAATACTGAAATGCTTGTTATATAGCAAAGAATAATCAAATAAGAAATTACTGTTCAGCAGAGCTTCCTAGAGCTGATTAGGATGGAGGACTTTCAGGTCAAAGCACACTTTTTTGACAGAACCAGACAATTTTAAAGTTCCTATAAGATAAATCCTCAAATGTTGTGCTTGCAAATATCTTCAGTTATTTGACTGAAGTAGTATGAAAAAGGTAAAACATCAAATGCACAATAGAGCAGCTTCATATTTACCTGATTGTAAGTGTTTTATGCCAAAGATATTCTCATTCCTCATTTCAACACAGTTACTTTCGATATACATGTAACATCAACTTGTAGTCAAAGTACATTTCTGCATTTTTCAATCCTAAATAAAAATCAAGGATCTTGGACACCAAATATAGTGATGAATACTGCTGTATTCAGTCTCCTCAATGAATTTCCTGGTCATGCATGCTCTACAGCAAACCAATGTAGATCACCTGTAGACAGGTGATACAGGAAGAATCTTTCTTCCTGTCCTAATAATTAAAAAAGCGTTGCCTTTTCCATGGGAAAGCACTGGAGACATTTCAGCTTCAGCATTCCCCCAGCCTCAAACCTCTCAGAGAAGGTTCTCTGCAGGGGTACTTTCCACATGTAGGTGGCTATTCAGCAGGGAATATAGTCAGTTTATCATTTTTCCCTTGATCACTGAAATATTCCCAAAGGATATACCTGTAATGGTTATTTTTTGCCATGAGAATTCCCCACAGAAAACGCCATCTGACACACTTGGAATAGTGCAGCTTTGTCTGAACTTCCAGTATGGAAGCTGTGAAGACGCTTTATAATACAAGTTTTTATGCAGGTAACCATAGATATAGAAATCTATGAAAATCTAAAAAATCTAAATCTATCATAGAAAAACTTTATAATACAAGTTTTTATGCAGATAACCATTTGCCTCCTTAGGTTTAAGATCTGGGTTGCTGAACAGGGAACATCTGTGGCAGCTTATCAAAACACCAGAATCTGGCCACAGCA